ACCGACTAGTTATATAGGTGTCCCGACTTATACTATTTGTGTTTGTCCGTATTCATCAGGGGCGGATCTAGGATTCTGGAATAGGGGGGGGCGATAAGTTGGCGAAGCCCTGTTGGTTGTTAAAAATATGGGGGCCGCGGCCCCCTCGGTCCCCATCTAAATCCGCCAATGTTCATGTTTAAAATTAAGTCTGCATTACGTTTATGTAAATGTTGTGATTAATTTTGAAAGTATGGGGGGGTTGTGTTCTAATGTTCACGTATAAGTGAAACAGCAATTTGCAGACCCATTTCCATATTGTGACGTTGGCTTGTTCTATTTTTATCGATACCAAAATAATATAGTTGCAATAATTACTGAGGATTAACCCCCTATATGACCACTTTTACGGCTTTAGGTTGGTTTATGTTATCCTACAATTTTTCAAAAGTCAATAACAGTTGTTAAACAAACTGAATTTTGTACGGAATATAAAATACGCTAGAAAGGAAGGGTTCACGTACAAAAGCAATGGTCTACCCGTTCTATTTACGTCACAACTGTTAATGGTATTCATCTGGGACACGGTATAAATGTACATGTTAAAAATAATTAACTATGGTTGTTATCATATGAAATGGCTCTGTCACTTATGTCATACATTGTTTAACTACGTGTATTCAACAATTACGGCAGTATTTGATAGCGAAGTTGTTGCTATGTGTATAGCAATCGATTTGACCTGTGTCTCATTATTCAAGTTAATGTCGTTGACATTTTTATCACGGCGGTACGTACATTTGTATTTGCATGTATAAATTGGCAAATCAATATTTATTCCGAAATCACGTCTTATTGAGATTGCTGACTCGACTACAAGATTTGCGTTTATAAATCATAAATTATTATCATTCATGGCGGATTTTATTTGTATTCTAGTACGTGCATGTCATAAGTATTTCAGTTAAAAAGCAAATGCTAGAATGATGACTCACGAATTATTCACGACTAAATGTCGATTAATACATGTCTGATATGCGTGACACCCCCCCCCCCCTGGGCCAAATGATGGATAAATTGATATAATTGACAATTGAAATAAACAACCGATTATTTATATTATATTAATTAGTAACACGTATTTTAATGGATCGGCCGTAACTGTGATGTGACCTTTCTCATGATTTCATTACAAAAAATTTTAATATGAAAGAAGATACGACATACTCACTATTGAACAATATGGCTCAGTTTATGCAATTCAAAGCATACATTACATTACTGCAAATATTTTATTCAGTTTCGTTTTACCTTGAATGAATCCATATCAGACATGTGTTTCGACCAAGTGTTAATTTCTCCAATAAGTCCCAATGCTGTGTGTAAAGGGTCGTCACTTGTAAGTGCAATGTATGACGGGCTTGACACTGCATTATAGTGATGGAGAATTTGTAAAGTCGAATCTAAATCTCGAAGACTAGCCGGTACGTCTACATAAAAAATAAAACAAATGTAAACCATGTTATTCTCATACAATAGGTTAATTCTATGTTGGATGATACAATCAAACCTTAAATACTTACCGCCTGGTGAGAACGTTTTAATTAGCGGTTTGGCTCCCAACTGTAGTAAGAGTTTAATCATAAGGAGATCGTCATTACAAGCTGCTAGTTGCAGAGGGGTCTCAAACATTCCGTTTGTCAGTAAAGCAGAATTGACGTTCATCTGTTCGTGTTCCTGCAAGTCAGATTAAAAAACATACGTACGTATAGTGACATGCAGTGATTGAATTAAATACAATTATCTACTTGTAATGTATAAACTAGGTTCACATTATATAATATACAAGTTAGCCTGTATATTACCTCTATAAACTCTTGCACTGCTTCAGTTTCCCCTTCATTCAATAACTCCACGAATTGCCGTGTGTCATGCTCTGCAATTGGTTCATCCTCCCAAAACTGATTAGTCAAACCAAGCACCCGATGCAGCGTACTTGGCTCCATGTGTTGTACAGATTAATGCATATAAAGCAACATGTCTGATCGATGCATGTAAGATCTAAATGCATTTGGTTAGCTGTTAACCCGATCGCAACAATCACCATTATGTACGTCCGTGTCACCATTAATTTCCTGCCATTCGAAAGATGTCATAGATGTCCGACACAAGATTACAAGGTTATTAATAATGTATAATGCAGAATGAATTTTCCATGTCCTACGGTGTTTCTTGAAGTAATTTATTATTCATTACCTAATAGATATTTATATTAGTATATATATTAGTATTCGATAAATACAGATAGTTAATTTATTATATTCTTTCTTCGATACTACTAGCCGTATGTAACATGTTGTAATATGGCAACAGCATGGTAATCACAATACATTTGCACTTACAAGCATATTGTCTCTGCCTCTTATTATTATTATTATTATTATTAATATTATTATTATTATTATTATTATTTAATCGTTTTATTTATTATGTTGCTGTATTGTATACGGAACAAAGCGACTGCTTGAACAATACGTGAATGTTGAGACTTCAAGTGATTCTGACTAATTTATGGTGAAGTTATGTGTGCTCACTCGTTTGAAAAAAAAATCATTTTGAAGCTGTATCTCTAAGCGGTCATTATGCTATTTTTTTAACATACCGTCAGCAAAAGAGTCTCGCTTAATATAGAAATGGTAAACTGAAGAATACCATTCCAATGAAACTTGATACATAATTTGTGGAATTGCACAGGCCTTATTAGTTTTACATTCAAATCTTTGCATATTAATTACATGATTTGTATAATAATTAGTCAGCTTTTGGCTTTTCCATCAATATCAAGTACTTATCATCCTATTTCAAGGATCTAATTAGTTTTGGGTTTATATACTTCCATAGTAATGAACCAATTTACATAATTTACTTTTGGCTCATGTTAGTTGCTAAGCTTCTAGTTTAAAAAGCTATTCTTAAATGTTGAATTATTTTTTAATATTTACCCAATACTCTCAGTACATGGGAGTTCTTTTTCTAAGCTTCTTTGATTTTTTTCAATTTCCATATTTTCACTGATAAGTACAATCAGCTAAATTAAATGCGTAGAATAGAATGTAAAATGTAAAATCATTGTTTACTAGCTAGAAACAACACATGGATATACATTTTCTCAGTAAATCAGATGGGTTATTTATTAATTGTGAGCTACAAACGTAACACATAAATGTTTATCCTGTGATTCGAATATATTTAAACACAACACAGTCCTGGGGCACATTCAGATATACTCACTGATTATGTTCTCTTTTGCAGAAAAGTACGTTTGTTTCCAACAAGCTGCACTGCACATATCACATATCCCCACTTCACTTTTTCGTAAAATCACAAATAAATTATATTATAACACTACTGTTTAAAAGTAAAACATTTTTATTGTTTTGGGGTGAAACACTTAAAGTGTTTATATTCTGCATAATTATAAAAGTGTATATGATGAAAACACCAGAAACGCGTATTGAAAAGTGAAATTGTCACACACTGTTGAAAAAAGTGCTTTTACTAGACACACAGTTTGAAAAATACTTTCATTTGAAACATAACAGATTTTTAAAATTGCTTTCACTAGACATACTTTTTGGAAAGTGTTTCCACCAGAAATCGGTATTGAAAAAGTGTTTATCATCACAACACTTTGAAAAGTGTTTTCAAAAGTGTTTGTATCAGAGACCCATTTCAAATTAAAGATTTGTCTGACTACTTTTAAAAGTGATTTTACTAGACACACATTTTGTAAAGTGTTTATGATCACGACACTTAGAAAAGCGTCTCAGCCGAAGACATGTTTAAGGTTTTTACTATCACATCTAAGTTTCCTCCAGAAAAATGTATTTAAAAAAGTGTTTATCATCACAACACTTTGAAAAGTGCGTTCATGCAAAACACAATCTGAATATTGTAAGTGCTTGTAACAGAGACACATTTTAAAATGCATTTCCACTGATAACATTGTATCATTTTAGAAAAATTAATCAACTGATGCGTTTTAAGATCAACAGCATCGTCCGCCTGCACGGTGTTGTTCCGTTCGGACATTCCTCCCTCTACAACCCCGGTAACTCCAATCATAACCGTGTGTGTCACGTGGTTGCACGATAGAAAGTTTACCGAACAATAAAAAGCTTTGTTACAATGACGGCCAAAAAGCGCTTGGAGCTTTGAATTTCTGATGTCTTCGGTTCATTTCTGCCGATATATGTTGCAGATTTTTGTTGCAGTCTTGCAGTGACATCATAAACTTTGAGGTATAACACCTACTCATATATAATACACAACAGTGGTGGCACTGTTACCACGCTCGATGGTCACAAGGCCGGTAAAGCATAATAACATAATAATTTACCATTTCCAGTAGGACTAAAAACGAACACATCAGAGTCAGAACTAAGTAGCTTGAATAGCTTTGGTTTGAATATCTGTGAGTTGCATTATCGGGGCGGGCATTTTCACCGTCTGGCAACCATCATGGTGAAAACAAAGGCCAAAAACTCTTAGAAAACAGTACTTTGGGATGGTTGTTGAGACTCCCCTGAGCAGAGTAACAAGATTACCCATACATATGCAACATATTTAAATTAATGTGTTTAATTATCAAACACTAATGTATCAAATTCTACACTTAGGGATAATCTTTCTGTTCGGTGTTTTAATCGGAACATGTTAATTTCGTGATTAACTAACTGAATACGTGATGATTTCTTTGTCATCTTCATTTGGTCCTGTAACATTCATTTTGACTCATGCAAAACAAGAACTTAGGCGTATGAGTCACTGTAATGCCTCATTGAAGTCACAGTAACGCGAGACCGAGGCAGAATTACAGTGTACCTGTGTCCATATACTGTGTCCAATATACTGGACCTACTGGACATTGGTCCCTTGAATGAGGTCGACGAAATATAATGTCAACCTTTGCCTTCATAATAAGATAAGCACACATTTAACATACATTCGTACAACTCAAAATGTCCCCGTGGAATTTTGCAGCAGTCGTTTTGTGGCTTGTAATATGTGCATCTACTGGAAGCAGCGGCAATGAAAACCATATGACTTCGCACCAAGCTGACGGCCCGATTGTAGAGACAAAATACGGTAAAGTACAGGGAGTTTTCCTCGATGGCGCAAAGGTCTTTTACGGGATTCCGTTCGCTGAACCTCCCACTGGAGATAATCGTTGGAGAAATCCAACGCCACCGAAAAGTTGGTCTCCCGATATCTTGCAGGCGACGAAAATACCACCAGCGTGCCCCCAACACTGTGCCTTGCCTCCACTGATGTGTGCGAATGAGGTATTTAAATTATTGTTTTGCAAATATGCATTTAAATAAGTTCGTATATAACGTGACAACCTTCGATATAAAAAAATAATCTGCGTGCATACATGAACTAATTCAGGCATACATTTATATCACGGCAAAAAGGAAACGTATGTCTCGTTTTATGACGTGAATAACTCTGATAACTATAATTTATTTATATGACCAATAAAAAAGACCATTTATATTTTTTCTTGCGAATGTTGTTCGGAATTACATAAAGTAGAACTAAATTAATTATCATACAAGTTATATGTTCTTTGTTGTGTGTATTTCTTTTTTTTTCCAAGACAAGTGAGGATTGTCTTTTAATGACAGTACACGCGCCATTAACATCAACTCATCTATCAAATCTACCGGTGATGGCGTACATCTATGGCGGCAGATATATAATGGGCAGTGGATATAATCTGTTACAGGATGGGCGTTATCTCGTGAACCACTCCAATATCATCCTTGTAGAGTTCAATTATCGAATAGGTTCGTATCAACATGCCCGTGATATCCTAATAACATGTGTGCCCTGATTACACAAAAGCAAAGGCAGTGATTTAGCTATCAATGTATTGTGAATCTGATGATTAGTAGAGAATTATGACAAAACTAATCGATAAACTACAAAATACTGATCAGAATTAATTCGATTTCATAAACAACGACTAGTGAAACAATATTATTCCTTAAACAAAGAATCGTTGAAATAAATATAAAGTTCAGATCCTATAAAATACGTTTAACAGGTTAAATTCACACAGTCCTGAAGTACGAGTATAAAAAATAGGTAAAGTTATACTTAACCAGTAGAGTATAGACGATGGTTTAATCAATCTCAGTAGTTATGTAGCCTCTTCTCGTCTCGCCGTTTGATAAATATCACGTTTGAAGTACATCTAAAGCAGCGTCGGCTGCATGCAATTTTGCATGAGGGGGCCATCTGAAACGCTATTTCCTGCATTTTGAGGGGCAAATTTTGCTGATACAAATGGTTTCAGCTTGATTTGGGGGCGACGCCCCACAACATTTTTTTCGGGTGGGCGATCGCCTTATCGGTATAAATGACAACATGGGGATCGCAGCTCATTTATTATGGGGTATCATTTCTAAATATATATTCTACATTTTTGGGGTAAAGGTCCTAGTCTTGTACTTTCATCTGTCATCAACCTCTTCTTACAATTCACAATTGCTATATTGCGAGACAACCAACTGCATTGCCTTGCAGGAATGGTGTAGTCAATGTTGACACATTCGATTGCCTACAGCTTAAGCTAAATGATCATATCATTCCATGTTATCAACGCAGTCAAAATGCAATCAAATGGCATTAGCATCGTATTAGCGATTTCATCACGCTATCCTTTGCAGGCGAAATATAATTAAACTTTATGAATTCCATAAGATTGCTGTGTATTCAGTCAAAGGTTGTTGTGGTGAAAATAAAATCTAATTCACATGCCTCTTCCACATAATCAGGATCACATGCACCATCATTCATGAATGTTGTGTCGTAGATTACTATGTTGAATAGTTACATTCACTGTAGTCAAACTATGATGCACTTTATGTGTAAAATCATAATTATCATCTGTGACACATATATAAATATATGCCATTCAGGTGCTCTTGGGTTTCTTGTTGCTGGGAAAGGTAAAGATGCCGCAACTGGTAACTATGCTATCCATGATCAACGTCTTGCCTTGCAGTGGATACAAGACAACATTGTTGCTTTTGGTGGAAATCCAGATTCGGTAAGTCATATTCAGAAAGATTCGAGAGGTGATAATTTTGGGTGACCAGAGGAGGTTTATGGTATTGAAAGTTAACAATATGTTTCACATATCTTGGGATAAATACATTCATTCTGTATACGTGGATGTAAAAATTAGAGAGCAAAAATATCAGACAACATATCTAAATATAGAACTATATTTTTACTATTTATGCAAAAGAACCTTTTCCAAGCAAGTAATAGAGAATCTAATAAAAAATACATGAGTTAGTCACTGAACTATGGTACTTTCACGCTCAAGCAAGACAAGCGATATGTGAGACATGTTGGCGAACTTACCATACGGCCTGGGTATTTCTGTGTAGTTTTATAAAACATCAGTTCTGAATTGCAGACTCATAATATTATATTTCTGAGTCGCCTAGCCAATTTTTACACATACAAACTTGTACATACTATGTCTATGTAATTTGTTTTAACAACTAATTTGCTATATAATTTGTACTGTATTTTACTTTATTTGTACTTTCACTATACACAGGCATACTAAAGTTCCTTTAAGTCTTACAATAGTAATTTAAAACACTCAATTACAGATGTAGTTTAGAAAAATCACGAATGTGCAGATTTGAGAATCAAACATGTTTAACTGGATACAGCTGGTTCAAGTTTAGAGAACAGTGTTTTGTAATTACAATGTGTACAGCCGATGGATGGAATTAACGATTGTGGTACGCGTGTTATCAATAATACGTGTCAATACGCAAACGTTTTTGATTAAGTACGTGAGTGCATTTTTGTTTTTCCAGGTGACTATTTTTGGTCAGAGTTCTGGTGCTGAATCTGTATCGATCCATCTGATTTCTGAGAAGAGTGAACACCTTTTTCATAGAGCTATAATTGAAAGTCACCCATTTGCCCTTCCATACAGGGTTCATGCAGATGCCATTATTCTTGGCAACAAACTTGCCAAAGTCCTGAACTGTTCAACTGCTGACATGTCTTGTTTGAGGTCGAAATCATACGAGGAGATACTCGATGCTCAGGAAAAAGTTGGTGGCGAAATAGTGAACCCATTTCGCCTGCTTGAGTTATTTCAACCCTGGGGTCCATGGGTTGGCAGTGATGACGTTCCGGAACAACCAGTTGATGCTTTTTATTATGGGCTATTCAGTCACAAGCCAATAATGATCGGTTCTACTTCTGATGAAGGACGCGCAAATGTGTTCTTAGCTTATAAAAAGCCAATAAGCAAATCCCAGTATTATGAGACAATTATTGCAGACTTTAGACTACGAGCGCTTGATGTATTATACCGATATCCACCAACTAAACTAGAGAGTGACGATCAGCGGGAAGTCTTATCGATAGTTGCTCACCAATACATGTTTGTCTGCCCAGAACAAGTTTCAGCTCGTGGAATATCAAAATACAGTGATACTTGGCTGTATGTATTTGATCACGCAATCTCATTTGATGCATGGGGTCCCAACTATCATTGTTGTGTTAATCACCCTTGTCACGGATCTGAACTCCCATTCATCTTCCATTCCCCATCTCTTGCTGGTTTCAATTTCACAATAGAGGAAGAAAGTCTCTCTCGTAGCCTGATGTATTATTGGACAAACTTTGCTCGCACTGGAGATCCAAATAACAGTGGCTCTGAATGCATGCCCCTTAAACGAGATGGCTTTACAAAGTGGCCTAAGTATGACAAGTCAAAAAACTGGCAATATCTTCGTTTTATGACCCCTCAAAATGTAGTAATGGAAAATTACCTGAGCAAAGAATGTAACTTCTGGGATTCTTTAAATTACTACCCTTGACATTTTAGATTTAGAGAGAATTGCTAAATGATGAAGATGAACCTTGGTATATAATAAAAATAATCATAGTCAATTGTTGTCAATTATATTCAATTGATAGGTGGTGATCGTGAGTTCGAACCTTCTGGTCCATGTTGTAATGTTTATCTGTTTAATTGCATGTATGATACCAGTTCCATAATCAGTGTCAACCGTTGTTATCCCATTATTAAATAAATCGTCTCTTGATTGTATGCAACACAATTGTGTCTCTATATCATGCTCTAAATGTTGTATGCCATGGTACTAATACAACACGTCTCAGAATCCACTACAATACAGACATTTGATTCTATCAGTTGGCCAGTCATCAAAGTGGTTCCTGATTAACCTGGATATATATATCAATTTAGTGCCGCGTCATATTACATTTAGGAGGTTTTCTACATCTAAAACAAAGTGTCAAAAGAGCCTTAGCTTTGATCCCTAGAGACCCAGATTAAACAAGTGGACTATCGACTTAGTATGGAAATCCAGTCGATGAACAAAAATATCGTACACACGACGTACAATCGGAGTGCTTTTTCACGAATCAAACATTACTGCTTATTTTGAATAGGTCTGACGTCTGGCCTACATTTTAAGATATATATATCGGAGAATTGTCAATAAAAATTACGTTCCCTACTGTGATATATACATTGCTGTTTCTCTAGAAAATACATAAGGCAAATTATAATATACAAGCTTCTGGATTGCAAAGGTTTTACTACGATAACTTCCCCGTGTTTCTTATCAACCTAACCCATGCATCATCCTCATCATACGACTAACTAAAGACACAAAACATTATTTCTAAAAGAAATTACCTGGCTTCCAATAGTTTCATATGAATACATATGAAGTTAATATTCTGTAGGTATATTAACTAAATATCTCATCGTACATACACAGAAACTGACAACAGTGAATAGTTTGGAATAGGATTGAATCGTAGGTGTGTATTCAAAAGACATTTAATCAATATTGTAATTCAGCATTTCATACACAGTGACTCGTCTCCAGATATACCACTTAGAGCAAATGCCACATTTGGTCCTACAACTGTAACCGTCAAAACGCATGTTTTTCTGACTTCATTGTGCATTAGGAAAGCAACAATAATTATTTCCCCGGTAGAATGTGCATTTGAGTTAGCGCCCTCCATCGCTTACTTTTTATTATATTGTTTGTTTTTTATTGATATGTCGACAACATTCATTAGCCCTGTGAGGTCGTCACTGGAATATGGCAGTGCTGTTGGCTCCCTAAACTAAAACTAAACTGTCCTTCCATGATAAATCTTTGCAACTTACCGAATTTGTTTGTGCTGCCACTATGAAGCAAACCGTTGGTCATGGATAGCATAGTTGCCCTGTGCAGGTCCTCTTTTTTTCCGAGCCACAAAAAACTCGGCGGCGGAACGGGGGGGCAGATGTGGCGATCAAAAAATGTTGGGGCGTTGCCCCTCCGAAATTGAGCAGGATGCAGTAAATAGCGTTTCAGGGGGTCTAGATTTCAGAATTGTTAAGGAGGAGCATGCCCCGGACACCCTAGTAAAGTCATGCTTTCGGCGCAAGGTTGGTGAGCAACCCCCCCCCCCCCCAATGCAAAATTGTGTGCCGTCGCCTTCGATGAGAGAGGTTTGCATAATCTCATCGGATCTGCTCCTACATAATAACGAATGGATACAATCTAATTCGAATGTAAACTCATCCGCCTGTCATATACCACGGATTTTAAAGTAGCACTTTTTTAACATTTTATCGAGTCATCTTATAAGGTTTATCTTATTATAAGTGTAAAGATACATGAAAGTTGGTACTGTAAACGTTACAATGGTTTGAATACAAGATTACAATATTCAGTCTTTAGTGGTTTGGTCGGTATCGGTAAGTTGTAATTTTCCCCCACTTTTTATTGTGTTTACTCATTTTCCCTTTCTCCTTTGCAGTGTAACGTTCAATCATTTCAATCAATTTAACAAATGTCTTCAAGTTGGCAAAATTTGGTCTTTTTTGTTGACACCTACATACATAGATAAATCTCTTGGCCAACAGAATCAGAAAATTAAGTAACATAGGACGAAGGCAATCACCTAATATAAGGAATTCAGTGTCTAATGACCCTGGAGCTCCAACATGTTTTCCCCATTCTTCAATGAAATTTGTCCAGAATACATTGACGTGAACACAGTGGCAGAACAGGTGAAGGAGAGTTCCATTTGGCCCTTTACAAAATGTACATGAACATGATTCAATTCTGGGAGGACATCTTATAGAGTATTGTGTGTGTAACCAGGATATTGTGAGAAATTTTCCACTGAAATTCTCTTAATTTTGAATCAATGGTTAGTTTAAATGGTGACCAGTAAATACCTCCCCATTCATTTATAAATGAATTAAATGCTTTTATATAAAACCTTTCTGATCGTGGGGAAATGAAGTAATGTTTTACAATACCCCGGGTAACGGGTTTAATTTTGCACTGACTCAGATGATATTGCACTCCAATAAATGTTATACCTATCTCAGTATTCTCATCATTGGTCCTTCTAAATTTTGACATATCAACATTTTGTTTCCAGCTAGGTGGTATCGCTGCCATTTCAGATAGCAAGGACGGGCACCCCTCTCGACAAGATCTCCTTCCATTGTAGGACTTGACCATGTTCATTAAAAAGATGTCCAACATACTGAAATCCAGCTTCAAAAAAATAGTTGTTAAAAATACTTTTACCCCCTTGAAGTATATTGTAATTATTCCAGATAGCTTGGTTGAGGAAATGCTCCTCATCTTTGCTTTCCCCAACCACAGAAATCCAGGCTTGCATCATTCTAAGATTTAGCCCCTTAAGTACAATAGGTAAAAGTTTTATTTTTAAATTGGCTCTCAACAGTAATTTGACTCCACCAATACTGTGCAATTTCCTATGTAAAAACCATTTCCATAGATGGGTATTGTTGTCGTGGTAACGCCTCAGCCAGTTTATACTTTGGGCCTTAACTATAGCAAACATATCGGGCATGCTCAGCCCACCTTCTCCTACTTCCCCAACTACGGTTTTCCGTTCTTTTCCATTCCACAGAAATTGAAATAACAATTTATTAATTTCTTTCAGGATTCTATTAAGATTTAGTACATATTGGAGCCTAGAAATTCCCATAGATTTAATAATCTGTTTCTTTCCAAGCAGAGTTAGTTTTCTGAGTTTCCAAAATTGCGATGACATTCTGAGTTTCCCCATGGGCTCACTAAAGTTCTTTTCAGTAGCTAGTTTTTTATCATGGGAGAAATAAATTCCCACAATTTTGATAATATTCGGCCATTTCACTCTCAAAGGTTTGTCTTTACATTTTTTCATGCTTCCCAGCCACATCGCTTCACACTTCTCTTTGTTAACTGCAAGACCCGATATTTTTTCAAAATCTTTCAATATTTGGAAAAGTCCCCTACAGGAGGGGGGCAGTCAAGAAACATGTGATGTCGTCTGCAAAAGAAGCACTTTTTAATGGTTCCAAAACCCGGTACTGGGATTCCCTTAATTTCTTGATCTGACCGTATTGAGCATAAACATATTTCTGTAGTAAGATTGAATAACATTAGGGATATTGGATCTCCCTTTCTGACCCCTCGTCCTAGAGCGAAATATCCAGTATTAGTACCCCTATTCATAACACAGCTAACAATGTTTGAGTAAAGAGTTTTTGTCCACCTAATAAAGCTGGGTCCGAAATTGAATGTTTCAAGAGTTTTGAACAAAAAGGACCATTCTACCGTGTCAAAAGCCTTTTCCAGGTCTATTGTTAACAATATACCTGGCTTAGTTTCCTCATCCATATAGTTAAAAATGTTTTCTACAAGACTGACCACATCTCCTATTTCTCTATATTTTACAAAATCCGATTGAGTATTATGAATTATATCTGGGAGAACTTTTTCTCGTCTTTTGGCCAAACACTTTGGCCAATTTTTAAGAAACCTACTATCCCTACCTTTTTTTCCCAACAATGTGATGACTGCCTGTCGCTGAGATGGGGATAATTGACCTTCTTTATACGCAGTGTTGAGGGAGTTAACTACACCAATGGCCAGAATTTGCTATAAAACTCTGCTGGCAAACCATCATTTCCTGGCGTTTTATTCACAGGCAGGGTTTTAATAATACATTTGGCTTCCTCCAAGGTGATAAGTTCCTCACATTTTTGAGCCTGGTCCTCAGTCAATTTTGGTATGTAAGGGTTTTGAAGATAAGTGGTTTGGGTGTTAAAATCAATACAGTTTTTAGGGTGGAGGCATACAGTTTTTCATAATAAAATTTGTTTATTTATTTCTTGGGACGGGATCACTGATCCATTTGTAGTTAAAAGATTGCTAATTTGTGATCTCTTGGCATTCATTTTCTCAATTTGCAGAAAATATCTGGAGTTTTTCTCCCCTAATTCGTGCCAATTAGCTCGTGATCTAATGATCTGTCCCTCTGCGATGTCATATTCTTTCTGAAGGGATTGTTTTGTTAATTCAAAGTTATTTATACAACCGGTTGTTGGACTGTATCCCATTTCGCCCTCCAATTCCGCTAATTCCTTTTCCATTTTAAAGATTTTTTCTCTTTGTTTTTTACTTTTTTCTTGACTATAAGTCATGGTTGACCTCTTTATACAAAACTTTAACCAATCCCATAAAATCCGATGGTCCCGAATGGCCTCCCCTTCCTCAATCCACTTTGGAAATTTATCCTCAATTAATCTTAAGTAATCTCCAACTCGCAGCAAACTTAATACTTAGTGATATAGCACAGTGGCCAGAGTGCACACATGGGATAATGTTTGCATCGATTGTAATATTTAACACAGACTGACTAGTGAGGAAGAAGTCCAACCTACTTTGTACAAAAGTGGGGTTAAATCGTTTTCATGTAAAGCCACTCAGATCTGGGTTCATGACCCTCCACACATCTACCATCTCCCCAGCTTCAATAAAATTATTCAAAAGCTGATGGGCCCTGTGCCACTGTTGGGTTTTGCTTCCACGTATGTCTTTAGCTTGATCTAATACAATGTTATGAGCCCCCCCCCCCCCCAGATTACATGGATATCAGGGTCAGACAGACTTTCTCTAATTTCTTGGAAAACATTTTTTGTGAAGATGTAATATGGCTATTCTCATCATTAGGAGCTTATGAATTGATTAAAAGAAAAAGTCTTATATATAATACAATACAACTTTATGTA